GACGAAGCCAATGAAGAAATGTGTTGCCAATGTATAATAGTGACATTTAGAAAACTGTATCGGTCAGCAACTTTATTTTTTCACACTTAGAGATCCATCGCTCCGGATCCGGAGTCAGATTGGAAATCGTACAAATTTGATGTCAACGGTCCTATTCTTTATCACTGAACCCATCCTTCACGATACGGGTTTTGGTGTGAACGTAGCTTTAACCTGCCTAATTTGATTGATAAGATAACAAAATTTATCCAGAGCTAAAATCAGTGGCGTATCTAGAATTCTTAAAATGTGGGTGCTGATGGTGGGATGCGAAGGTGAAATGGGGTGGGGGGGCTCGATGATCAGTTGGGGAGGGGCGCTAACTCGCAAAATAAAGTGATTTTAGGTGGTGATTTTTAACTACTTGACCGTGATTTTTTTGGGGGGAGGGGGTGGGGGCTAGATACCCCACTGGCTAAAATCCGGGTTGAGTTATCAAATTCATTACATGCAATGATGTACTAGCACACCCATTTATAGGCAAAGTACATGTATTTATCATTTAATTGTGATAGTGTGGATATAACTTGGGGAAGTGGAGTTGTTTTTGTGGTGGGTAAATAAATATATATATATATGAACCTGGAATAGGATGGCAATACTCCAACTCATTGTTAATTTGTTATTTAGGATATATATAGAAGGCCTTTCTTCCCTGGTCTTTGTGTCCGCATACTGCATAAGAGCAGGCAGCCCCACAAGGCACCCATACTCCTTGGTTAAGAATACAGAAATGTTCAATGACACAAGCGAAATGCACATAGGGAAGGATTGAAGCCGCGATCCCAAAGTTATGGAACATAAATATTAAAAATACAAACATCATTTATGTTAAATATCTACCTTTTTTGTTTGTGTGATGCCGCAGAATACTCAATTTTCGTCGAAACGTGCCTATTGCTGGTCGTTTGATAAACATGACACAGGAGATTTTACACAAATGTGATGATAAAGCACTGTTGGATACATTTTTCTGGAAAGGTGAGTCTGAATTCAATGGCTTGCGTTTGTTTACTCCACCAAGGAGGTTATGTATGCACCACGTGACATCGAAGTGTTGTGGTGAGTTCAAGCACCAGTAGACTCTCAATCCCTTTCATTGTTATGTGTGTGATGTCACATTTTTAATATAACAAACATAAATACAAACATAAATATGTAAGATACGCGTTTAAAAAAAGGAATTTAATTCTAAATATAAATTATTGTTTTCAGATGGTAACCTGTGTTTTATTGGGGAATGTCTGCCATGGTTTTGCAACGATGAGCATCCGATCTGTGGCATCAGTGACCTGCTGGAGGTGTCCGTTGCCCAGTTCCTCCCAAAGTGCCCTGACAGTAAATACCCAGTGAATGACAGGGCTTACCCGTGGAGCCAGGGAGTTAAAGAATCAAAAGTGTGAGTTGTTTTTATATTCTCTAATCTGCTTTTTTTAATTTGTTTTTTATTAAACTTTATTTACCGAGGGTAACCCAAAACAGCGGTTAGCTGACAATCGTGGGGCCCTCGCGTAAAACAACAGCAAAATACAAAACAACGGCAAGGCAAAGTTAACAAGTTAATATAAACATATATATAGATATAAATGGAAAAAAAGAAGCACGTATGTACAAATATTTAAAAGCATTAAAAAAGCATTTAAAAATAAAAAATTAAATAAAGAAATAAGCTTGTTGACTCGAATAACTTCACGGGCAAAATATCGCGATGGACAATAAGACACGACTTTCTGAATCGCTTTTCAGGCGGGCCGGGCGCTCACTGCGGGCCACCAAATTATCATTATTAATCCAAGGTTGGGATGGTTTGTTACCTTTTAGAGTTCCTTAGCGATTGGAGCATGTTTATCTAAAATTGATTTTAGTGAGGCACTGATCATACTATACGATACGCCAGCATCCACTCGCTGGTAGGCGAGAGACTGAGGTCATCGATGAAGGCTTCCAAATTGATTGGATTTGAAAACCAAAAAAAAAAAAATTATTATTAAAACTATATTTAAAAAATAAACAAAGTTATAAAAGCTCACCCGCACACTACACGAACATTCTCATAAAGGGCTTCGCTATTGCTTGTTTTTTGTTTTATTCTAATTGTAAACATAATTGAGAAACAATTTATCTTCTTAAGGGAACTTAATGTAACTACCTTTTCCACCAACTTTACGTTACTTTCTTGATCTCCACTTATAAGTCTAAAACACAAACTTGTATGTGGTACATGTGTCTCTGTATAGATGTGTATAAGAGACAGACCGAGATCCAGCCATTGTTTCCCACAGCATTGTTGTTTTTCAGTATTTTGCTTTTTAATCTATATATATATATATATATATATGGCATCAGTGACCTGCTGGAGGTGTCCGTTGCCCAGTTCCTCCCAAAGTGCCCTGACAGTAAATACCCAGTGAATGACAGGGCTTACCCGTGGAGCCAGGGAGTTAAAGAATCAAAAGTGTGAGTTGTTTTTATATTCTCTAATCTGCTTTTTTTAATTTGTTTTTTATTAAACTTTATTTACCGAGGGTAACCCAAAACAGCGGTTAGCTGACAATCGTGGGGCCCTCGCGTAAAACAACAGCAAAATACAAAACAACGGCAAGGCAAAGTTAACAAGTTAATATAAACATATATATAGATATAAATGGAAAAAAGAAGCACGTATGTACAAATATTTAAAAGCATTAAAAAAGCATTTAAAAATAAAAAAATAAAATAAAGAAATAAGCTTGTTGACTCGAATAACTTCACGGGCATAAATATCGCGATGGATAATAAGACATGACTTTCTGAATCGCTTTTCAGGCGGGCTGGGCGCTCACTGCGGGCCACCAAATTATCATTATTAATGATAGGTTGGGATGGTTTGTTAGCTTTTAGAGTTACCTTAGCGATTGGAGCATGTTTATCTAAAATTGATTTCAGTGAGGCACTGATCATACTATACGATACGCCAGCATCCACTCGCTGGTAGGCGAGAGACTGAGGTCATCGATGAAGGCTTCCAAATTGATTGGATTTGAAAACCAAAAAAAAAAAAATTATTATTAAAACTATATTTAAAAAATAAACAAAGTTATAAAAGCTCACCCGCACACTACACGAACATTCTCATAAAGGGCTTCGCTATTGCTTGTTTTTTGTTTTATTCTAATTGTAAACATAATTGAGAAACAATTTATCTTCTTAAGGGAACTTAATGTAACTACCTTTTCCATCAACTTTACGTTACTTTCTTGATCTCCACTTATAAGTCTAAAACACAAACTTGTATGTGGTACATGTGGTCTCTGTATCTCTCCCCATCTACTTCTTCTTTTTGAATTTTCAGCTTAGTCAAACCATTAGGCCAACAAAAAAAATTGTGTTGGCCTCGCTTTTGAGAAAATCCCCCTCCCCCCACCTCAAAAAAAAAAAAAGAGGTCGGTAGGAAAACTATTGTTTTTTTGACAACCAAAAATGAGTTTACGCCTAAAATGTAGAAAATACACAAATAATACAATTTTAAATTCGCATCTCGTACCATCTAGCAAAGTAGAGGCTAGACCTTGGCCCCCTAGCCTGGCCAAGGCTATTCTAGACTTATAAATTGCTTGTTGTAGTAAGGGGAAGAAAAAGCTAAGATGACCACCATTAATTTCGTAAAAACTTTTTTTTTTATTTGGCGTTAGAATTGACACTGTGTAGTAAATAGGCCTATCTCATACTATATAAACCAACATTTTCTCAGCCTAGTTAATTTTCCTTACTTTTATAACAGTTCTTTTTAAATACTTTGTGAATAATTTCCATCGTTATATTGCAGTTACTGTAAAGTTTATCTGAATTATTTAAATGTATTTTTAAATACAATTGTTATCAATGAATTATGTCGAGTGACGGGCCGTATAGGCCTACATTATTGATGTAACACTTCCATTATATAATGTACTCGTAATCTTAGCGAGCTACGTATAATTCACATGTATAATGAATACAGCCTTATCTTACCTTAAAAAAAAAAATCTGACTTAATCTTAATTAAA